TCCTCAGCCGCTCAGGCCGCGCGGGTGCTCGCGTAGGGCGTTGTTTGGTTTCAGCTCCGGGGTGGCGGCGGGGGCGGGGCGCTGAGCGGTCCGCCGGGGCCTGTCCTTCGCGTCCTCCCCGGGTCGCCTGCCCGCCTTCCTCCGCAGTCCGGAGCCAGGCGGAGCCCAGACCTGGCGGGGACAGCTGCACCCCCGGCCCGGCACCCAGAGCCTGCCGCCACCATCGCCACCGTCCATCGTTGGTACCGGCAATGGCCTTCGTATCGCCCGCTGTGCTTGTGACCGATTTGGACCCAGAATATTGAGAACTCACTTCGGTCCCCATCCCAGCCGTGCCCGCCCAGTTACGGCTTAGCTGCAGCGCCGCTAGACTGTCCGACTTTGAGAGCACCATGGACCAGAGTGGGATGGAGATTCCTGTGACTCTCATCATTAAGGCACCGAATCAGAAATACAGTGACCAGACTATTAGCTGCTTCCTGAACTGGACCGTGGGGAAACTAAAAACACATCTATCTAACGTGTACCCTAGCAAACCTGTAAGTGTAAAACAACGCAGCTGCTCTGGCCTGCAGCCCCGTGTGCCTTGGTACCTCCCTTCGCCCAGCTTGCCCCCTCCTCGCCAATCGCATAGGTCTCCATTCGAAATACTTTTGGTTGTGAGGTTGCGGGTGTCTCCTGAGTGAACCACCATCATTATCTTCCTAATGAGGTTCAGTTAATTAGTGAGTATGCAGAAATGCCAAGAGACAAGAATTTGCAGTTATGGAAAAGGGACCATCTTCGTGCAACTTAAAGTCATCTACTGGGAATGGCAGATCCTAATTTTATTTGTTTTTGAGATAAAGAATCACGGTCCATATTAGAAGAACTTTCATTGCTTCCTAGGGCAAAATTCCATTTTAACTTTAAATACCTGGCTCAGGAATATGTTGATGGCGAAGAGAATATTCCCCTCTTTTGGAATAAGTATGTGACTTAGCGAAAATTATACTTTAACCATCATCCCATCGTACCTGTTGTGAGTTGCAGTTCACTTTGTTCCCCCACTTCCCACCTCACATTCCTCTTGAAGATACAGACATTGAGACGGGCAGTTTTTCCACACACCCCAGTCATTTGATACCTGTTTCTTTCTTTGGTTATATCATCTGGTTCGCTCAAATCAGTGTGGCTTTGTTTTCCATTCTTTATCTTGGTATTGGAAAGATAATGTCGCCATTTGTCCCTAAAGTCTAATTTGAAGGTACGTAGTTGGTAAGTCTTTCAATAGTTTAGAAAGGTGTGCCATATAGAGTATATTTTAGTGAGGCTTTCCTGTTTTCTATTGTATAACTTTTTCATTCTTGAACATCCAGTATTCAACTACTCAATCTTATATATAAATAATAAAGAGACTTGGTTTATATACTAGCTAGTTGGGAAGCAACTGCTTTTTAGGTCTGTTTTGTGCACCTAAGTATGGAAGATGTTGGTCTGTGTTAAGATATTTATGAGTTAGAACTGTGTCTATTGCAGTATTGTTTAAGATTTAGACATCTGGAATAGCCACTGAATTTTTATTGCCAAGGCCGGAGGGTGTATTTTTTGTTGTTTGTTTTAAACTCATTCGTCCTTAGCAGTATTTGTGACACAAATATTTTTGTTGTGTGTGGGAACACTGAGTTCCTTAGTAGTTGGAACAAACTAAAAGTTAGGACTTTTGCTCATTCAAAACTTAAGTTTGAAAGTGAAGATTTCAAAATTTTTCTGTTGCATATTATTGTTTTCCCACATTTTTGAAATAGAAAGCACCTCATGAGAATAGTCATTGATTGGCATAGATTTCATAACACAGCCCAAATACTATTTTAAAGTACTTTCTTATGTATGCACGTACTGGTATGGTATGTACTAAGGTGAGATCTACATGTTATACTATTACACCGTTAAGGGACTTGGTCAGCAATATGTGGATCAAGAGTTTGGATTAAGCCTAATGTTGTATAATCTTAGCACTTGGGGAGATGGAAGCTGGAGGATCAGCAGTTCAGGGTCATTCTTAACTGCACAGTGAGCTGGAAGCTAGCATGATCCTGTCCCCTAATCCCAAACAGATTTAGTACTCTTTAAAACCTTTCTCCTAAAACAAAACAAAACAAAAAAACAAAACAAAACAAAAACCAAAAAACCAAAAAAAAAAAAAAAAGCCATGTGAAATAGAGATGTGAGGCCTGTTTGTCCGATCTGTCCCGGGACAGCTAGTCACTAATGCAGGACTGCTGGGCAGCTGGTCCTAATGCCTGAGGGGTGATCACTTGCAGAACTCTTTCTAGGCTTGCCTGACTCAGACACACTGGAGAGTCTTTTGGAGCTTGCACCACAGACTGTAATTAATGACTTTACCTTGTAACATTTCTCTAGCAAGTTTTCTGAGTGGATTGTAATGTCTTGTCAAGTTCATTTCTAGGTTGAAAATTTTGTGCATTTATTAGATTTGACAGGTTTCTGTTCTGATTTACATCTGAAATTAATTTGAAACATCACAGTTGTTGAGTACCTGCAGTTAGTGGTACTCTGTAGCTAATAGAAGACATCAGCTCTAGGAATTGGGAGTCATAAACATTTTCTTTGTAAGGTTATTTAGAAGTCAAAACATTTTGTAATGAAGCAAGATTATTACAGGAGTTTAGATCCTTGTGACTGCCCCCACTGACTCACTCGGTTTTTTAAATGCTCTAAGTGTTATGTCCTGTGTGTGCACTCATGTGTGTATGCCTCACCTTCACAGACAAGAAGGTCTTACTGGTTTGCACAGCATGATCGCAAATTCTTGGTCTCCAATGATTCTCCCATCTCAGCTTCCCAAGTTGTGGGACTGTGGGTCCTCCCACCCACCATGTTGACCAGCTACTCTTCTTTCAGAGTTAATGTTGCGCTGAGGACTCTAAACCTTCTATTACTATAATAATAAGCAATACAGTTCTAAGTAAAAAGACTAGTTAGGAAAAAATAAGGTTGTTTAATACTGCATTAATGCTTTTTGGAGGTTCTAGAGTTTTTAGTTTAAATTTCTCTTTATATTATACTGATTTGTCTAAAATTCTTTTATTTAATTGCTCTGATTTTAAACTGCCATTTAGATCAGGTGTTTTACTAAATACTTGATATGCCCTATAATGTTTATTTGTGGTAGACACCTTGTGATATTAGCTCTTTTATAGATGAGAAAATAGAGACTTGATGATTCTTTTGTCTAATGTCATAAAACTCTTTAAGTAGAATTGAATTTGAACCGAAGTTGGTCTGACTTGAAAGAGAATGCCCTTAGCCATATATGTACATGTATATGTATACATACACAGACACACAATTGGCAGTAGGCTGCCCTGTAGTGACTTGACTCTATCTATACATCTATAAGCAGGAAAAAAATGAATTGGACTATTAAAAATGTTTGGGACTAGAGAGATAGCTCAGAAGTTCAAGAGTTCTTGTTGCTTTTGCAGAGGATGGGGTTCAATCGCCAACACCACCAACAATATCGCCTGTTTACAAGTGTCTTAAACTCCAGTTCTTTGAGATCTGATGCCCTCTTCTGGCTTCTGTGGGCATCACACACACACTTGGTACAAAGGCATGTATGAAGGCAAATACCTGTACATGTTAAAGAATTTTCTTTAATTAAAAAAAGATTTGCATTTGATATGTACCTAGATATGCTATAATACCTAGCAACTACAGAGTTGAGTAATATATCCTAGCACCTAATCAGGTTACTGTGGTTAATACTGTTTATTCTGATAAACTATAGAGAAAATATGGGAACTTAATATTTTAAGACTGCAGAGCGTGTTGCTATTTTTGTTCTATTCACAGTGTAATAAATTCTGTACTTTGGCATTCTCAATTGCACATCCATCTGACATGTAACTGAATGGCCTATGAGTGGAAACCTTTAATCAGGGAATATTTTTTAAGAATTCCAGATAATGTATATTCTGAAGATTCTGAACGCTGTTTATTGCTGTAAGGAGATAGAGACTAGAGGCTATTTGGGGAACCATGTTTCTGGTTATATACTTCTGAATATCTTGGAGCTTTGGACTGAGGGAATTTGATTAGAGACATGTTTAAAAATTTTAAAAATTAGTTTTTCACAGAGCCCATATTTTGTGTGCTTTCTTGTATTTGACTCTTTAAAGCTATTTGACACTTAGGACTGAGCATGTAAACTGAAATGTAATAGTTTCTATTTTCTAAGTACTTGTATGCTAGTTATTAGAACTTACCAGCCAGTTGAAGGTTACTTTTATTGAATCATCATATATTTTTAAAATCCACATATTTAAAGTTCAGAATTAATATTTTGAAATTATGCAGAATTCAGTTATGCTAAAGTTGGGCATAATAGTGTCATGACATTTAGTATATAGGGTTTTTTTGTCTGTTTTCCATTTTTTGAGCTTTTTTAAAAATCACTTTATTCTGATTAATTTACAAATAGAAGCAACACATTACTCAAACTCACAAACTCTATACAGTTAAAATGGCCCTTCTTTTGTCTACTTTTTTTTTTTTGGTTTTTTTCAAGACAGGGTTTCTCTGTGGCTTTGGAGCCTGTCCTGGAACTAGCTCTTGTAGACCAGGCTGGCCTTGAACTCACAAAGATCCGCCTGCCTCTGCCTTTATTATTACCTGTTATTACCTCACTTGGTCTCCTTTTTAAATTTTATAATATTTCCAAAGTGATACCTATTAACATATATACATGTATACATTATAGCTAGGATCCACATATGAGGGAGAACATGTGGGCATTTTGTTTGTTTCTTAGTTTGACATTTTTTAAGTCATATAAGAGAGACCCATTTAGTCTGTCTATAGACACATACATACATATACACACAAACTTTAATCTTGACATACTAACAAATCTTTTAAAGTATGAAAATAGAGTTGGTTTAGTAAATTCATGTGTTGGACTTGTGAATATTTAGATTTTTTTCCTAGACTGTTGTGTATGAGTGTTTTCCTTGTGTATGTAAATACATCGTATGTGTACCTTGTGCCAAAGAGGTCAGAAAAGACCATCAAATACCCACTATTCCAGGATACACACCGAGAAACCTTTGTCCAGATGTTATAATGTAGGTTTTTTAAGCATGTGCTTCTGGAGACTGAAGTGTCTGAAGCTATTTCTTCTGGGAAAACTTAGTCTCAAAACAAATTATAAAATTGTTTTTCTAGTGTGCTTTATATATTATTAATATAGTGTAAAGATTAATGGCTTATACTGGAAGTGTATGTGGATTAGTGGTCCTTAATACTGCATTTTTTAGCATTTTTCTTGCTCAGAAGTGATAGCTTCTGATTAATTCTATTACTGTTACAGTTTAATAAAAAAAAGGTAGAGATAATCTACATAGAAAGAAATTAGATTATGTACAGGTAGGTTGAGTACCTTAGAAATAGTTGGTAAATAATGGCATTCTTCCACTAAAAATCTGAGGTTAAATGACTTAAGCTTTGGACATGGACTTTTTGCCAACTTCAAAGT